AAATAAAATTATTTTTTTTTGGCTTTGGGAGCCACTATTTGATTTTTAGGGGGAGGGGGCTAGGATGAAATATTTGAAAAAAAGGCAGGATGAGCAACTTTGCAAAAAAAAAGGCAGGATGACAATGTATGTAAAAAAAATTCAGGATAAACTAATAAAAAAAGGCAGGACCGAATAGAGTGAAAAATATAAAGGCAGGACAGAGATTACAACTATAAAAAATGCAGGACAACATTTTTCATCCTAGCCCCCCACCCCTTTTCCCCATAAAAATCAAATGGTAGCTCCCTTAGCTTAGCTCTGTTTCTGAATACTAGAAGGTAGCATATTTCGCAGGAAATTACTGCCACCCTTAAATTCTAAGTAAGAGAATAAAATAGAAATAATTATATAAAAATAAGGAAATGTGGTGTGATTGCCGATCTTATAGAACTCGAGGTTACTGAAGGCTTGTTCAAAGTCCAATTTGACTTCATAGATTAACAAGGATATCACAGACTAAAACATCCATCACATGAACGGGTTCAGAGTAAAGACGTTCGTAGGTTGTCTGTGAAAAGCATGACTTTGTGCAATGCCAAACAATAAGTAACGATGTGGTAGGGACCTTACGTGGCAATACACCTTCAGTTATAGTACCAATAAAGATAATATTCAAAGATTACACGCAATATTAAATAGAATAAACTTATTCAAAGAGACAATAAGGTTATATGGACTGTATCTGAATTAACGGGCTATGTCACCTTAAAAAGATTTGAATGATATCCTTTTGTAATAAGGTTTCTACAAACCAAATCTTTGTATCTATAGAATAATTAAATATAAGTTTTCTTTCCTATCAATGGCAGCGAAATCCCTCATTCATAACTTACCAGTTTTCTTATATTACGTTCATTGAAGTTTAAGGCATAGCGAACGACTTGGGAAATATACACACCGGAGTCTTAAAGAGCAGCACCGTGTAAAATAGAAAAAGGGAACGAAAATCGTCTCTTTTGTTAATTTGGGTATAGAGTTTCCGGTGTGAAAATAAAATGTCCAAACCAATAAAAGGACAATTGTTGCTGTATATTATATAGTTACAAGTATTATTGTATTATATTACATATGGTTTGATTTTTATTGTTTCTCATTGGTTTATTTGGTCACGTGTTTTCCAATATATATTTTGTATTTTTTCACTATCTTGACATATTGACTCGACGTTGCTATTTTTAGAAATGATGTTGACTCCATGGTACTCAAATCAGTAACATCGAGTCAATATCATTTCCAAAAATAGTAACATCGAGTCAATATCATTTTCAAACTTCCACTATTTACATATGCAATATATAAATTAAGGACTTTCACTCAGTCAATACGTTATATATGGACCTGCTAGAATGTATTGAACCTCGGACTTCTTCCTCGGTCAATATAATCCGAACAGGTCCATATATAACGTATTGACCTCGTCAAAAGTCCATAATGGATAAATATTTTACTTATGTAAATTTCCGCAATGCAATTAGAATATTATCGACTTTTTGAAAAAAAATATCATGAAGTCATTCAAGAAGAAAATAAACCATCAATTAAGTTGAAAGCTGGACATTTTTAAAACCAAATGTACGATGAAAAAAACATTAGAATCACAGAGGATAAACACAATCCTGTTTGGTAAAATATATTTTATCAGGTTCTCATACCGCTTCTTGAGGTATTATGTATTAATATAGTGTTTTATTCAGTGATAAAGCGTATACATGTATGTCAAATGGACAGCAAACAAAAGACATGAAAATCCAAGACAATAGCCAAGTATTAACGCAGCGTTGACACAGAATATCAAAAAGCAGTCATGAACACTTAATTCTAAAACTGACAAAACATTATGGTTTTTATATTGTTTTGCAGTCTCCCTCTCCATTCGTTCTGCTTTTTTTTAGATTGACCCATTCTTTTTATTCTTAATTCAATGCTCTCCGTCTTGCCATGCAACAAACAAACAAAAATCGATACCAAGAACCAATTTCAATTTTAAATCACAAGTCGAAGGTAGACAGCACAGTGCACATAGCTCAAAGAATTCAACAAAGCATTACACAGAAATCCAAATATTGACCCCCCCCCCCCCAAAAAAAAAAAAACAAACTTAAAACTGGTGGTTTGTCCTTTTTAATTTCTTTTGTCTGTTCTGAATTTGGGGAAGTCTCATCATCCTCATTGGTTAATTTTCTGAGAATATCTTATTTATTCTTTATTCCCTCGATTATTTTTCATTATCCTGTGTATTGACTGTTTTGGGTTGTCTAGTTACCTTGCTATCCTCGAGGTATTTGTAGGTTTTCGATGTTGGGTATGCACCAACTGCGCTTATGTGCTTCATCCCTATATATATACTTAATGTAAACGTTGATCCTTTTTAATAGGTTATTAGGTCTCTAATGGATAGTTGTCTTACTGACAACCTCGCCACATCTTATCTTCTATATTTCATGCATAGCCCATCCATAATGCATTTATACTCAGTTTTTGTCTCTACCGTATGGCAGGATAAATATCCATGTGATTGTGTCCCATCAGGAGTAGAGTGCTCCATATACCGTACATTAAATATTAACGGCAACCAGTCTCTCTTCTGTTATTCATTATACCGCAACCATGTTCCCCCGACTATAATTCCAAATTGCTCGCTTTTTATAAAAAAAAAAACGGACCTTGACATTGAATTGATCTCACATCTGCATATGCTTGTTTGTAAAGTATGCATGTTTTCAGATAATGTACTCTGTGATATTTCACATTTTTGGCTGTTGGTGGCCTTTTTGTGTTTATCAGATTTTTGATTAAACAGACTTGCTGATAATGTTTATGGCTTTATCATTGTTATCAAATCATAGCATTTTGCCTTTTTAGGGAATTGATATCAATTTACATATTTGAAGTTTTAAACGATACTTAAACATTTGAAATTTTATAGATGTTTACTTTGGGAAATTGCACTTTTAAAATTGTCTAAGACAGCATGATTCATAAGTGGTGGTGGGGGGGGGGGGGGGGTCATAAGTCTGTAAATTAAGTACTTTGAGTTTTCTCAGTATTCTCTGCTGCAACATTAATAAATATTGTTGTTAAACCTGTGTTTTTGCTGTATTCAAAAACAGATAGTGTAGGGTTAAGTACATTTTATAGGTTTTTATATGAAACTGTTATTGTACTGGTCGAGATAAGAAAGGAAGAGAGTTGAATGATTAAAAAGAAAACTGCTTATGTTTATGTTTTAGTTTCAGGTTAGTATATCATCAGTGGGATGGAAATGAAAGAAGTATGTTTGATATTAACTGATACATTCAATTTGATGGAAAGTGTCGTTATGCTAGGTGCAAAAAGGTAAAATATTTACAGTTTTCGGAACATTTCTTCGTCTGTCCATATCGGTATGGATATATATTGCCTGAATTGGTGAGTTGTATAGGATAATTTTTTCTAAATGATTGGTGTATTTTTGGTACTTGTACTGTACATTACGCACACAAAAGATATGGCAATTTTTTTGAAGTGTGACAAAACTGTATAAAGAACAAGTATGGCCAGTTATGTTGGGGTTTTTTTCTTGTTTTTTGTTGTTTGTTCGATTTATCGTTTGGGGAGGGGTTCTTCCTGATATTTTGTGTAAATAGAGTTGCAACTAGATTAGACTCGGATGCATACGGTTAAGACTCTTTATCATTTATTTTGCTGAAGATCGTACGTTGACCTTTAGATCTATTTTGGGTTCTTGGATTAAATTCAATTCATACCGTTTATATTATCGGTTAAAATTCGATAAGTAATTTCAGAAGAGACAAAGATGCTATTTCCCTGAGGATTCAATGAAAACCGAAAAGGCAATTTTAAAATCATGTATGCATGAAATGAGAAGACTTTGTAAAAAAATATCAGAATCGTCATTCCAATAGGAAAAATATTTGGAAACTCAAGATCCTGCCTTCGCTTGAGTGGAACAAAAAAAAAAATCATAAAGTGTCATTCATTTAACCTTTTCAAATATTTTAGTTGGCGGTAGTAGAAAATGTTATTTTTCATACGATTCAAAGTAGCAAAGTCAATAACAGCAAATTATGAATCTCTTTTTTTACGATCTTTTATCTCCATTATAAGGTTTGTATTTGTATTGACAAAAAAAGAGAAACTTTTGAAATAAACCAATTGGAACTGCCCGCGGCTGTCATGTTTTTTTACGAATTGGGGCGAAATGAGGATATTTTTGAAACGACTATCAATACATTACTGATGTCATTTTTTTCAATAATTTCTCTGAAAAAAATGTTTGAAATCATCCTACGATGATCGTAAAGATACTTCATGGTGGCCCCATGGATCAGGTAGATTTATTCATGGGAAATATTACAACATTGCATAATACTGTTATGTCCATGTCAATGAACTGATCTTAGAAAAAAAAATAAACAGGATGGACTGTCAACAAGTTGTTCGCTAATGATATCCCATAATAAGCATTCGTTACAGGAATTTGATGAGTGAAATATGTGACAACGCACCATCTGGACAAGCATGCCATGATCTGCTCACAATCAGCTTGATACCAAATTTCAGGAAGCTTTGATACGTAGTTCCTGAGAAAATGTATAAAATTAATTCATCGGATGACAGACGGACGGTCAGACACACGGATGGACAGAGGTCGAGATGTATACAAAGATTATAATTTAAAACATATTTACAAAGATATCTCTATTTGAAACAAAATCGTGATGTGAAGTATTTTGAACCCAGGTTATGTATGGTCTTGTTGCAAAATATTTAACATAGAACTGGGTTAGTCCTGGTTTTTAAGAAATAGACCAACATAGCAATACTGTTGGTACTTTAACACTGACAGTATTTGTCTCAGACCCTGTATTTTAGTTTGGTCAGTGTTTAGCGCAATTATATGAAAATGATTTACATACTCAATGCAATCGTCATAATTACTAAGTTCATGATTTTCATTTCAATTCATCATTTTTTATTTGATTTTTCATACATTAATAAAAAAAACAGTAACAATACAATAGGGACTTTCCATCTAATCATATACACTGAGCTTGGATATAATAATACTTTAAGATAAAATGAACATGAGAAGGAATGCAAAGAGGAATAACTCTTGCTAAATTTTAAGCCTAAAAATGTTTTCCTAGATTCACTACTTTAATTATGATTTTAACTTACAAAAATATCATGGTGAAAACATTTTCTATTATTTTTTTACGACAAAATAACCAGCAAACATAAATTATAATCATGAACTTGCTTGTTAACAGTAAAATTAATTTATACTTAGACAATAGTGTATAGGGCTACAAGATGTTTACATGTTTTCACTTGTAAAATTTCAAAACCTATATGTTAATAGACTTACAAAACTATTTATCAAGCAACTTTATCAATAGAAAACTTCTATCAAATCAAATTTTTTAAAGAAGTTTTAATGTCGATAAAACTCTAGAATAGACAACATCACAGAACGTATTCCAATAATGTAGCAAACCTCAGTTGGTCATCACCGTAGCTAGCTACTAAAACAACCTTGTTTGACGGTTCGGTACAATTTATCTGAATTGAACCTTCCCAAATGCCGGACACTTCGTTTAAAATTAGTGGGGTCCAATCTTTATTGACCACCACTGCAACTGTTTTAGCTCGTGGCACGCGTACTGCAAAAGGCACAAATTCCCCACTAAGCCCAGACTTGATGGACAGTGGTTTCCACATGTAGCAGCCTTCCTTCCAATATCCAAATTGTTTAGGATAAGGAACCACTTCCTTAGTAACAGCCTTACAATATATCAAGTAATTATATAGCCCTGGAATTTGATGACTACTATCAGTGAATGGATTTCCATGGACACACAGAAGGAAAAAGCCCAATCTTGGTGGCTCTACCAGAAGTTTCACTTCGCTATCACCTGATTGAATGAATACATATTCGGAGCAGTCATTAGAAGTCTCAGCTTCTGACATACTAGCAGTAAAACGCATGGCTTCCGATGTATTAAAGACAATTTCTATTTTGTTGTCGTCTGTGTGTATCACTGGATCCGGATGGCTAGCTGCAGTTATCTCATACTTCACAAGCATTGGTTGTGGTCCTAAAAACCCGGATGGAAGTTTTGGTAGTTGAAGGGTTTTGACGTCTTCACTACAGCAGATTAAAAATTGAGCAACATGACGCATCTTTTTTGTATCTGTATCTGGATCTTTTGCATAGATTTCTAATCCGAATTCACCTTTGAAAGGCGCAGTAGCATTAAAAACATTCTCACCGTCGACTGTTTTGTATGTTACATAACCTTCAAACTCGGTGGTATGTTCATAGTGAAGCAGTCTGCTTCTAAACTGCATGGGTTTTGGAGAAGTTATTTCAATTTTAACTTCTCCATTTACCGTTTCTACTATGCCAGAATTTTGATTGGTAGTAAGACCAAATTTGTGGAAAGCAGCACCGACTCCCCATGACTGATAAGCGCAAGGTGGGTATGGTTTGTGAACAGTGGACGACACGGTTTCTTGTACAATTTTGTAGTCACATATTTCAGCAAACATGTTTTCTTTTTTATCGGATAAGTCTTCTTTAGCATAGACTATCAAATCGTAAGTCCCTGATTTTGGTAGTCTCACCCTAAACGTCACCATACCGTCTGCTGCTTCCAACATGGCGTAACGATTGAACTTCACTCCTTCATATTCGTCGCTTCCGTCCACGTTTTGTATACTAAAAGTAAAGTTATACGTTCTATTTTTAGGATATTTCAAAGCAATATATACCTGATCTGTTGAATAAATATTTGCCAACTTGTGACTTAATAAATCTATTCCCAAAAGAAAGAAATGTGGCGTCATGATTGGCATATTACAAAACTCTTCCTCTGAGACCTGTTGTTCTAAGAGCTGCCATCGGACATCGTCTGGATAATGTGTGTAAATAAACAGCACCGGATGTGTCAGGAAATAATGGCTGTCCACTTCATAACTTAATTCTCCACTCGATGTTTGTGTTGGTCTTCTTGCAAACCTGACATCTACTAGACGCCATATTCCATCTACTAGTACAACATTCCATGTGTGATGATTGGATCCTGGTCCCAATGGTTGGCCTGGTTTGTAATCGGAACCTTTGGCTACACCAGTTATAACTTTACAGTGTAGTCCGCTATGTCTGAAAAAATATACAAAAATAATTTATTCCACGGAAGACATTTCATCAATATTTTTTAATACTATAACGCATATAATATATAATATATTAAATGCACTATTTTGTCTCTTGACATAAACTTTTGTTGTTGAAAGACTTAATATATTTTCATGCTATATTCAGAAAATGAGACGAAAATATAACGGAAAAGGTATGATAAGTCTTTTTTGTCACTAGAATTAGAAAATAACCAAATAATATAAATCCATTAAAGAATATGGAATATCTCAGCTGAGCTTACGTGGGCTTGACTACTCTGTATCAGTTAACGCCCCTGCTATTCCATATGCAGATTAATCCAGAATAAATCCACTTCGATAGCTGTTTTCAATTTTTATGATCTCAAAAAAAAAACCAAATGATAGATTAAGTTTGGTACAACAATGTTCTATCAATGTACTTTCCAAATCGAACTTTCTTTTAAAAAAAATGAAGTGATGAAATAATTTTAGAGAATATTCTTAACTTAATTAACTTACAAACACAGTGTATGAAAAGCCATAGCATAAGTAGTTCTTCCATTACTCAATCCATTAAGAACTTCTTCTGGACTTCCAGGTTCCACGTCTTCAAAAGTTAGTTCCTGGCGATTAACTGACACCAACCATGTAAATAAGATTCTGAAATGAAATAACCATTTTACAAAACTTGTTTTCGGATCGTAACACAATTACAAGAATGAAATTAAACATGTGTTCCAACATGAGAGGGCATGTTCGTCGTAATGAGTGATATAGTCTTGCTCTTTTAACTAACTATAGAGAGGTCATGTTCGTCGTTATGAATGATATAATCTTACTTTATTTACTAACTATGGAGAGGGCATATTCATCATTATGAACGCTATAATCTTGCTCTACTTACTAACTTTAGAGAGGGCATGTTCGTCGTTATGAATGCTATAATCTTGCTCTACTTACTAACTTTAGAGAGGGCATGTTTGTCGTTATGAATGCTATAATCTTTCTCTACTTACTAACTATAGAGAGGGTACGTTCGTCGTTATGAATGCTATAATCTTGCATGTTTGTCGTTATGAACGCTATAATCTTGCTCTACTTACTAACTATAGAGAGGGCATGTTCGTCGTTATGAACGCTATAGTCTTGCTCTACTTACTAACTATAGAGAGGGCATGTTCGTCGTTATGAATGATATAATCTTGTTCTACTTACTATAGAGAGGGCATGTTCGTCGTTATGAATGCTATAGTCTTGCTCTATTTACTAACTATAGAGAGGGCATGTTCGTCGTTATGAATGCTATAGTTTTGCTCTATGACCTAACAATAGAGAGGGCATGTTCGTCGTTATGAATGCTATAGTCTTGCTCTATTTACTTACTATAGAAAGGGCATGTTCGTCGTTATGAATGCTATAGTTTTGCTCTATGACCTAACAATAGAGAGGGCATGTTCGTCGTTATGAATGCTATAATCTTGATCTATTCACTAACTATAGAGAGGGCATGTTCGTCGTTATGAATGCTATAATCTTGCTCTATTTACTAACTATAGAGAGGGCATGTTCGTCGTTATGAATGCAATAATTTTGCTCTTCTTACTAATTATAGAGAGGGCATGTTCGTCGTTATGAATGATATATTAGTAGTCTTGCTCTATTTACTAACTATAGAGAGGGCATGTTCGTCGTTATGAATGCTATAATATTGCTCAATTTACTAACTATAGAGAGGGCATGTTCGTCGTTATGAATGCTATAATATTGCTCAATTTACTAACTATAGAGAGGGCATGTTCGTCGTTATGAATGCTATAGTCTTGCTCTATTTACTAACTATAGAGAGGGCATGTTCGTCGTTATGAATGCTATAATCTTGCTCTATTTACTAACTATACATTGCATTAGCGGTATTGGTTTGACCAGCGTGATTAATTATCTGTACTACTAAAGGAAGAGACCGATTTCATTGAACTGCAACTCCTCTGAAATATTTGTGATATGACGTATAAATGTGGTGTTTTTGTACTTCCTAAATTTGTCTTTGAAACAATATTTTTTTTCACAGAAAACGCCAATTTTTGAGAAAATATCCAAGTTCGGAGACCGTTATCGATCCGTATCTTATACGCTTTCGCGCATTTTCAGTCGACGTACTGCCCGCGAAATCTAAGTGAAAGTAAGAAGAAAGGATAGAAAATAGAACAGTTAGGCCTATAAGGATTCTGTATTGTATTGTAAGTGCATCATTTTGCTAAATTACACGACATCCACCCTATTTACTCATGTGCAGAAATGTCCAAAAATGAAATGGACGTTGGACGTGTCGAAGTGGTCCTCCCCCTTTTTATGTGTAAACACAGGCACCCGACGTCCGGACCCCTCACCCTTTTTGTGTGTAAACACAGGCACCCTTGACACTCTTTGTTTCAACACTTGCCCAATTGTACCGCGATTTCGCGGGCATCTTCTAGTATATAAAGTTAACAAAAAATTGCTTTAGCGTACCTAATAAAGGTTATTAATGAAACAAATGTAATGTTCACTTAAATCGGTATCATATCTTTATCATATACAACATATTTTGAAGTTTTTTTTTTAAATTGATAACTATTTTGATATGATGTTAAATATATATCATATGCATATTTTCAAAGTATCGTACACGAGCACGAGACAAAACACAACTGCAATAAAAGCACCGTTCCTTTAAAATATTGATTTTGTCCATAATTTTTTACTTGTCAGAAAGTAATATTTTGATGGTTTTGTGTATAATTTGAGAGAAAGTATTGCGTGATGTTGGTGCATGATGGTATCTGAACTATTCCCATGCTATCCACTGTTTAGAATAATATTTTTTGTGCAACAATAAGTCAAACAGAGTGCAGGTTTAAATGTGTAAAACTTATTGAAAATCATTATCGAACCCACTGTTCTCCAGCTTGGAACCAATAAAGTCTAGTTTGTGAGAGTCGGTGGTTCATGTATTTATTTTTTATTTCATTTCTATGCTGAGAGGCACTACATACCTTTCTTCCAATCATTACAATGCCGACTGTAATGTTTGGAAGCTTAAAATTAACGTCACGAAAACTAAAGTGATGATTTCTTTAAGATGCAGATGCCGTCAAATTTACATTTTGATATAGACGGCACTGACATTGAAATTGTTAAAAAAATTATTTGGGCATATTATTATCTAGAACTGGTAATACTAAAATAGCACAGAAGTACCTAGCAGAAAAAGCCACAAAAGCTATGTTTAATGTGTTGAAATCGGGCCGCATACATATTCTTTCCATTCAGTGTCACTTAGATCTTTTCGATAAAGTTGTGAAACCCATACTAGAGTAGGGATGTGAAATTTGGGGGCATGGTGATGTTGATATTATAGAAAGAATCCATCTGAAATTCTGTAAACTTCTTTTGAAACTAAAAAATTCCACACCTAGCTATATGGTAAATGGGGAACTTGGTAGATATCCTTTGGAAATTGATATTAAATTAAAAATAGCATCTTATTGGTGTAAATTAGTATCTGCTTAATAGACTAAGTTATCTTCTATCGTATATACACTATAAAAAACACTGTTTACTGTTAACAATATATGTATATTTTTTGTAAGTAAGTTTAAAAACATATTGGATGAAAGTGGTTTTTCAAATATTTGGATTACTCAATATTTTGGTAACGATATATGGTTAAAAAATGCACTAAAGTTGCGACTACAAGACCAATTCAAACAGTTGTGGAATACACAATTACAAGAGTCTACAAAAGCAGTTAATTACGTTAGAATTAAATTTTGAAAAATATTTTGATATCCTGGATCTGCACGAACGTACTATTTTATGTAGATATAGAACCACAAACCACAGACTCCCAATAGAGACAGGGAGGTGGAGTAATGTTAATAGAAATGATAGAAAATGTCATCTTTGTAAAACTGGTAGCATTGGAGACGAATTTCATTATCTGCTAGGCTGTCCATTTTTTAACGACATAAGAAAATTTACCTTGAAAAATACTATTTGGCTCGTGTTAATACACTTAAGTTTAGAAAATTGATGAGCAAATTAAACAATAAATGTGGATAGTGTCCACATGTGGACACAGATGATGCGCCCCATTTGCATATCATATATTTATAAAGGGACATAACTGAAGAACGGTAAAAGTGACGCTACCCAAATTTGAATTTGATCTGAGTTTTGTGGTAATAAGCATTGTGTGCAAGTCTAATAACATTTGGTTGAGGCTAACTTAAGTAGAGAACAGAAACTAAAAATTCAGCAATTTTTCTATTTGTAAACACGCATAACTCTAGAACGGTTGTGTATAAGTTTTTTAACATTTGGTTGGGAGTAACTAAAGTTAGAGAACGGAAACGAAAAATTAAGCAATTTTCATGTTTATAAAAGGACATAACTCAAGAATGGTAAAAGTGTCGCTACCAAATTTCGTACTTAATCTGTATTATGTAGAAATAAACATTGTGTATAAGTTTCATAACATTTGGTTGAGGCAAACTATAGTTAGAAAACGGAAACAAAAAAATTGTACTTGATCTTAGTTTTGGGGTAATGAATATTGTGTATAGGTTTCATAATATTTGGTTGGGGCAAACTTAAATTACTGAATGGAAACTAAAAATTTTGCAATCTTTCGATTTATAAAGGGGCATGATAACTCAATAATAGTTAAAGTGACACTACCCAAATTCAACTTGATCTGTGTTTTATCAGTGGAAGTCAAAATTAAACATTGCATTGTATAAAGCATTGATTGTAGTTGATTCAACTATAATCATGGACAAAGGAAGATAACTCCAATTTTAAAAATTACTTGATATTTAGAAGAAAATAAAAATTTTGCAATGTTTCCATTTATAAAGGGGCATAACTCTAAAACGGTTAAAGTGACGCCACCAAAATTCAAACTTGATCTGTGTTTTGTGGTAATAAGCCTTGTGTATAAGTTTCATAACATTTGGTTGAGGCAAACTTAAGTTAGAGAACGGAAACTAAAAATTTTGCAATTTTTCCATTTATAAAGGGGCATAACTCTAGAACGGTTAAAGTGATGGCACCAAAATTCAAACTCAATCTGTTTTTTGTGGTAATAAGCATTGTGTATAAGTTTCATAACATTTGGTTGTTGCAAACTCAAGAAAGAGAACGTAAACCAATGTTGGGACGTACATACAGACAGACAAGGGTAAAACGTAATGCCCCCACTGCTACGACGGGGTCATAAAAAAGATTATGCAAGTTCATGAAGTGTGTAAACAAACATGTGGGTCCTCCTGGCTAAAATATATATTATTTTGAAACCACTGTATTGTATATAAATGTTTTGTAAATAGATGCATATTCATGTACATATTTTGCACTCTCTCTGTACCTATGTATCTGCAATGTTTATGAGAATAAAGATATATATATATACAAAACATAGATACTACCTAAACGTATGATGTAATGGTCCTTTTTTTTTACTTTCAAAAAACACATTGCAACACATTTGTGGTATGCAATATAATACCTAGCTTTTGTTGTATCGTCTTCTAGTTTCTTGGAATAGATTAGGTCCCACATTAGTTCTCGGAATGTTGTGTAACTCGTTTCACATATCTAAAAAGTCAAATGTATTGCTACAGTTCGTTACTTGCATGTACAGTTAATAATAAATGAAGGATACTTTGAAATGAGTTTTACTTCATAGACACACATTTTTGTTGACATTTCTAAGCTATAACATTCCAGTATTTTTTTTAAACTTAAAGTTCCACTGTATATTTCCATTAAGAGCGAGTAACATTTTTTATTATAATGATTTGCTGAAAAATTACCCTGATTTTTTTTATTTACCTTCTTCACGTGCTTGTCCCAGGTATTGTTGTTTTCAAATTTATGATTGGTCGGATGGTTCATCGGAGCCGGATCTGGAAGATCAGCGTCGTTCATGTTGACAACTGAAAGCTGGAATGATGATGGTGGTGATCCGACCCCGTTTGGCATATTATTTATTGGTTGCACCTGTTGAGAAAAACGTGTTTTATGAGACATAAAAATCCTTTTCTATCAAGAGGTAGCATTCAACTTTGCGGAAAAAAATATTCAATGGACATTTATCTAGTAAAAGATAAAAGATACATTCAATTTTGCGGGAGGGGGGAATATTCAATGAACATTTATCTAGTAACGGATACATTCAACTTTGCGGGGGGGGGATATTCAATGAACATTTATCTAGTAAGGGATATATTCAACTTTTATAAACTAATATAGAAAAGAGCTGGAAGATTCAAAGAGAGCATGTATTTAAAAGCATTAGATATACATAAGAATCGTCATTTCTTCTCATATAGGAATATTTCATATTATGAAACATACAGGTGTTTTTTGTCTTTCGGTTTAACGTAGTTCATTCACTATCTTTCAGGATTATACCAGAAATTCTCTGATGAAAATTTAAGTATCATCAACATAATAGTTTGATTAGGTTAAGAAAACATGTTATAAAAATTAAGATACTCTGTTATCAGAATAAGATTTGACATTATTAAACAAAAAACTGATCCAAAACGATATACAAAGAGAAATATTTTGTATTGTATACTTGTTTAAGAATATATAGCAGGATACGCTTATCCTGGCATGTGTAAGCACCCGTTCTCGCTTCGTTTGAAGTTCATGCTATGTTCCCTCATTTTTTTTTTGCTTGATTAGTATATTAAAAACGTATAAACGAGTTTTGAGCGTCGGTATACTAGTTTCGCATCTTATTTTCATTGTTTGTCTTTTTCTATTTACAATGTGATTATAACATCTAGAAACTTTTCGAACTTTTCATCTCTTTAAAAGAAATAATTTCTAATATACATGTACGATATGCATGAATCACAGAGCTCTGATTGAATCGTATACATAAAAGTTCTGCATATAATTATTGCAAAATTCTATATATACCTCGATAATATTTAACAGTCTATGCTATTTTATAAAAGCCATTCGGTGTTATAATGATATTGTTCTATATGAGTTTTACGAGATTTCTCGTTTTCACACTGTAAACAAAAATAATACGTCAACTTCAGAAAATGCAATGACCTAGCTGTACTTAACAATTAACTTGCTTAATGAAAATGGACTCTTTTATTTATTAGAATAAAACATAACATGGAAAAGAATTTCAACAATGGACTGTAACGAAATGTCATTCAATATGGTTCAGCTGCTTTATGAAAAAAATGTGTTTAAAGAAGAGCGTAGAAACTGAATGAATACTGCAACAGTGCTATTCTCAACATCCCGCGTTCGAACACGGTTTTTGATATTTTATCAACCATGTTTTAAAAGCATACTTTTGAGATACTAAGTTATGAACAAAAGTGTTTCTCATTATGATATTTTTTTAATTTCTTCATTCAGCCAACTTACACTTTTAGCTGTCATCTTTTCAAAAGATTCAACATTTCTACTTCCAGGAGAGAGTAGGTATTGCTGCAGTAATTCCTCATTTTGATCATCATCTCTTCGTGTACAGACAATCAGATATTGACATACATGTGTATACACATTTTCTGGTTGATTAGGAAAACTGCCGTAAATTTCAAGCCCATATTCACCTGACATAGGCATAGTAAGGACAACATAAGCCTTCGTGTCATTGTCTTGTATCTTGATGCACTTCTGCAGTTCTCTCTCGTTCCAGTCATTTCGGATACATCTACAGAATATATTAACGGGTCTAGTTTTGTTGATTTCGATACAAATAGATTTTTCCGTTGTTGTTATTGTTCCCTTTTTCTGAACTGGATAAAGACACATTCTTTCACTCCTGGTACCTGGTCCCCATGTACGATCCCAGCAGCAAGGCAATGGATCATCCTCTATGCACGTGCGGTCTATTTGGACCCTATACGAAACCACTTCCTGGAATTTGGTAATCTCCTCTTTACGATCTGTTATAAGCTGTTTTGCATAGAGCTTTAGTAAATACATTCCTTGAGGGGGTGATCTCAGGATAAAATTTGCTCGTCCATTATGGACTTCATGATAAACAAAATTTTTTAAAGACTGTCCATCTACTGATTCACTACCAGTATCAAATGTGGTCATTCTGAAAAAGAATTTTGTCGGCTGTGTGATTCCAAGGTCCCATTTTACTTGGCCACGTTTCGTTTGTATAGTGGATTTGACATTTGCCATAAAATTCAACTCGCAAACGTAGAAATGTGGCTTGACGAATGGTAAATTTTCGAATTCTTGCAATGAGATTGCACGATCCACGAGCTGCCAAACTGGATCGGAAGACCAGTGACTCAGCAATAATTTCTCTGGATCTGTAAGAAAGTAGAATTCCTCAGAACCTGGATGTGTCTGTAATGAATAAATTTCATTTAAAAAAGACAGGGATAATTACTTGAAAGCAAATTCATAAACAAAGAGGGAAAATGACAGTCAAACAAAACTTGACCATGGTCATAGAAGTTACATAGTCATGATGACCATGGTCATAGATGTAACATCGGCATGATGACCATGGTCATAGAAGTAACATAGGCATGAAGATATTCAACTTTCGCCGCTACATAAACATCAACCAAGCTTGCTGGAACAATGAATATAAATATATAAATCAATTTTCTTTGTACGAACTGATAAAGGTTTCTATGAATCACGATATTGGCAGTGAAGAGATTTGCAGGAAAATGTCATGTTGATAACGAAAAATAACTAAACGGAAGTCATTCTTCATACTTGAAGAAAATTGTCAACAATTATGGTAATTTAAATGTGCTAAAGTAATACTTTGACAAATACGTAATAGGTCCATTAAGGAATGAAAACGCAGGATTGCATGAACAAAAGTAGTTTTTGAAAACAAATACTCTTTCAAAAAACACAAGTGACATTCCCGTTGGAATTTGTTGTTCTAAAAAGACCCGACGCATTGATTTACAATTTCTTTACCACATTTGGTATTACAAGCTTAGACATATTACTTTTGAAAGACGATGCCAGAGTATTAAACCACGGAACAAAGACATCATTAAGCGTGTAATTGTTTTTATGGAAATTGATTGTCTCTTCATGCAGTCGGATTCAATGCTCTCGGTTTATTCACTTTTATGACTGTTAGCAATTATAACAGAGAGAGAATATAACCAATAGTAGAAACTTCCTTATTTTATATTGCTGTCTTGGGTCATGCGTAACTAAATGGATAATTATACGAATATATAACTCCCATGGGGACGAGGAGGTCGCTGCTAGTGGAATGTATCTCACAAAGGTAACCATCAACATCATGAACATAGACTGAAATCCAAAGTGTCAGTAGTTGCATGATTTAAGTAGTACGTGTTTATTGTAAATGATAAAGTATGATATAAGCAATTATTTTGCCCCTGAAATTTCTAAAATAGTAAAATTATGCAAGCCTTTCAAAACGGTAATTGTATTGATAAATGAGCAGGTTGATGTAATAGTATAGAAAGGCCACTTATGGTGTCACTTTGATATCATAATGTCTCGAAATGGCATATTTGACCTAAATGGCCATTTCAGAAATAGTAATAAAAATAAACCAAGCCCTTACCCAAAAAGATATTTTACACACATTACCATCTTTGAAAAATTAGTCTGGTAGCAAAATATCGGTTTGGGTAAAGCCTGGGCTCATAGGTAAATATTAATAACAAGACATCGATATGGGGTTATTTTGCAGTCTTTGAAGTTTTGCACTAATTGCAAGACGTTGAAAGTTCTAATACAAATATGAAAGACAAAATTTAACAATATTAATATCTGACAGACTTATGTCTTAAAAATATCTGAAGGATTATTTAGTAGAATTATAATACTTTCTGTTTACCGAATTTAAGGGGCCAAAAAGTGGCCTTATCATACCTTCTGTTTTAATGTTAAAAAATGTTAGAATTGTACTGCAACTGAGGTATTCGATGAATGAATTTTAACTGACCTTTGGTATCTTCCGCTTCTTTTTTAAGCTTCAACTACATCACAAACATATTACAACGCCCTTTAAGTGTGACGGGAATGATTTAAAAAAAAAATTGGGAAACATCAAGACACAAGATAATACTTATCTCATTAGATTAAGGTTTTTATTCTACTGACCATCATGAGTAAGTAAAGTATTCTTTGTTTTTACATATCAATCAGACATTTCAGTTTAACATTAAAGTCTTATAATTTTAAAAATGCGGCTCAAAATGATATCCATAAGTTCTCATAATAGACATTTTAACCCAAGAATCTCCTGTCAATGAAGATATCATTTAAGGCATACACTACAGAACTCCTGACCATTTAGTTGCTGGGTTTAAGTAAATATTTACCTTTCGTTTAGCTGCCCATTTCGTGTCGACCGGAAACCAGTTTCCGTCAATACAAACTGCATTCCAACAATGCTGGTATTTAGCGTCATTACAGGAATCAGCTGGTTTATAGTCTTTCCCTTTTGCTTTACCACATATAATCTTACAGTTAAGTCCAGCATACCTTTAATTAATAAGTTTACGTATAAACTAATGGGACTATAAACTAATTACTATAACCATGTCTTTAAATTTTGGATTTATCCTCTTTTATTTCTCATTTTCTTCCCGGTATAGTTTTTTAGTTTAAGTAGACATGTACTTCATGCTTGTTTTATCTTATAGAAAAATAGCCACAAAGACAGCCGTATATTGTTTACTTTCAAATTTTCCGTTTTCCTTTCCATTTCTTTTTTATGTATGTTGGTTTTGAGTTTTTTTTTTGGTTTTTTTTTTGTAGAATGTAGAAATAGTGCACTTAAATGAGGGTATAAAACACATATAATATTGTGCCCCCTCCCCCAAAAGTAAGAAAAAGGCATAAAACAAAGTTCATGATGGGGAATTTTAAAGCTAACTATACGATAGGGATTTTTCTTATTATTAAAGGCCGTATGGTGACCTATAGTTGCTTAAATCCACGACTTTAAACTCTGTTAGATAGTTGTCTCCTTGGCAATTTCTTCTTATTCTATAATGAAAGAAAAACTTTACCGTGAACAAATGATGAAAAAAAACGAAAGAAAACACAAAAAATGTCTGTAAATATTTAAAAAAAAAAGATTTAGTTAAAAGAACTTCGCTAAATTGTCATTTTGTATTTAAATATACTTACAGGCAAAGAATTTGAAATATCTGAGCATGCGTAGACTTTCCATTTTTAAACTCTTCAATGATATTTTCTACTGTATTGTTTCCGCTGTTAGTATCAAACACCTTTGTTCCAGGATCTCGGTGTACTATCCATTTAAATAATACCCTAAAAATAAGTTATTATAAAATTGTAATTTAAATATAAAAATAGTAATTGAAAATAATACCTTACAAATTACTCAGTCAGTGGCCAAGTGGGCCCCGTTGTCATCTACAATTAACAAGCCCGTCAACACTGGGGTTGTGAGTTCGAATCCCACTCGTGGCAAGTGAGTTTGTCTACTTTTTTATTGACTAGAAATGTCAGTTTTCCAGCCGAAGGTAGGTGGTTCCCTCTGGGTACTCTGACTAGTGACGTTATACAGGAATAACCCACCAAATGAAGAATAGCTCCCCAAATGAGTAACTATCCCTCAAATGAGATGATGGATACTTTTCTAGTAATAAACAACTACTTTTTTAATACAATGATACATATTGATGGAAAATGCAGCATTTTTTCTAAAAGATGAATAGCACTAACCTGATTTACCGAGAAGATACAAGCCTATGAAAACTTCGAAAAATTGACAATTTTCAAGGCTTCTAACTTTTTTATAACTCAATATAAAAATATGGTTCTTTGGAAGAAATTGTACCATTTTCTATAAATGTGTGCCATTTTTAGTAAAAACACTTGACTAAGAAAATTTTGTTTTTAGCACTATCAAATAATTACTCAATTGAGGGATTGTCACTCAATTGAAGAATAGCTCCCCATTTTGCGGATTGTTTCCAATCTATTGAACACCAACAATATATCACTCTATCAATCAATCAATCAAAAATAACGGTCTAAATATTCCTGTCGTTCACAATATATATCTCTTCAAATCATTTAGTCGTTTAAGACACATGTTATACTCTATTTTGAGAAGATATTGTAATTCAAAACCATCTGTTTGTGATGATAAAGATAAAAAAAATTAAGAATTGTCCTTCAAATTCATAGTTTTGACTTAATAGATATTAAATCGTTGTGTCTTATATACATGAGGTTTTTTTTACCTTTTCTCTTATTCGCGGTTTAAAACACTATTATAGGGGTCAAAGGTCAAAGTTTATGTCAGAGTGGTATGACTTTAATTTATGACACACCCCTAGCCAATGATGCAACTGCATATCAAGTTTGCTCAACCGAAGATTTACGGTTCAAAAGATATGCGCCGGACATGATTTTGAATAAGGTTTAACTATAATAGGGGTCAAAGTCAAGGTCAGGGTGACCTGACTTTGATATATGAAATACCGCCCGCCCATGATTCAACTGCATACCAAGTTTGATAAACATAAGTTTTACGGTTCAAAAGTTATGTGCTGGACACGAAGCGGGACGGACGCACAGACAGACGAACAAGGTGATTCCTATATACCCCCTCTAGCATAATATATAAATTGGAAGTCGTTTTCAAATAAATCCTTTCTCAGAAAACAATATTGCTTGAAATGAATAATCATGTTATATTAAGAAACAGAAATAAGTCACTTAATTTGGTTCTGCAGAAAAGAATGTACACCCACAATTTTAAAGTCTAGGATAAATTATTCCACTAAATACTGTACTTAGTGGAATCGAAAAATATTAAAGAAGGATGGTTGTTATTTGATATTTCTTATTTGCAGCATTTTTTCAACTTGAAATTTTTTTTATATTTACTAAGATATATCTCGAATATGTAATCTTTTAATCTTTGTGGAAAATTCCAAAATATTACTAATGAATAAACCATAACAACAATTTGAACAAAGGGTGTTGTTTCGCATTCTGGTTTAAGTAATACAATATATTTATTTGACAGGTAAGCTATCATTCTGTGTTAAAGATACCCCATAGAATTATACAAGTATTCAAGGTATCGAATTACTATCAAGATTAAAAATCTGTATAAATACATGCCATCAATGACGATATATATGTCATATATTATGTTAACAGATTTTGAGTTGTGATTTGGTGGGTGGATGCTAGTTACTAAAGATATTTTGCAGGTTTATTTACAATGTTAGACGTCTGAAAGCTTTACCTTATCTTCATATTATGCAAAGCTATTACATGCAGCTCCATATAATGGAAATTTAATGGTGACACGAGTGTAACCAAATAGTTTTATTACGATTGTTGTCTCCAAAGTAAATTTATAACAAGGAGGGGAAAATAAGTGAACTCTTGGATTCTAAAAACTTTCATTATATTTTTGCACCTGTTGATACATATATCACCAATAAATATCAAAAGAGTGTCATAAGTATCCATGGGAATCGCTTGTGTAGAAGCTTGATGCTGTTTTGTTTTTGCTTTATTAAGGTGTTTGTTCTTTAACTTATTGTTGAATTCCTCCCTGTGGCTTCAAAGAATAACAACAGACGTAAAGACTGATACACAATTATTTCAACACGTATATCTTTTACATGTAGTTTCATAGAAGTCCATTCCATATCCGTTTTTCACGACGATAATGAGACCCTGGGTTTCTATGGTTTGGTATTATGGGAACTTCTGTAGACTTTACAAAAAATGTAACAAACTTCCACTTCATTGTTTCGTGTGGTTGAAGCTTTAGAGTAACATGATTATAATAATTGTTCCCTCTAAACGGGAATTCGAAATTGATATAGAAAACCCTCTGTTCACTATATAGTTTTCCTCAAACTGCTGAGTAATAAGAATGTACATTATCATAGTTAACGGTCAAGTCATCATGATCTAAGAGACTAAAGCTTTTTGATATCGTAGGTACCGTAGAGCTCAAAAATTGTACACAATTGTCATCAAACAGCATCCAAAGTTTGGTTTTGGGAAGGACACTATTGATACCAAGGTAAACGGGCAAGGATATAATTTATGGAAATCCCTCTTTATCACATGACCGTGTGTCAATGTAGACGCACATGATGTTACAACTTATATCTGATCTCCGTCAAAATCAGTACAGTGCTTCTCATGGGGATTGCATAGACACTACTTGATATAAGGTCAGAATCACACTTAAAAACGTTACGAAAAAGCTCGTTGGAAATATTAAACTTAGCAATATCACATCTAATCTTCATCAAATTCAAACAATCATTTTCGTTGTTAAAGGATGGCACCACTAAAATGTCAAGGACATGACACTTACGGAAAACCATACATTAAAATTGTTTAGGATTAAAATAAGATCCTCGACTTTGTGTCATTTTTGTTTGAACAGATATATCATGTTAAGTAGGGGTATTTGCGAAAAATACCAGTCGAGAGAATGTTAAATTTCGCGAGCCGTAAGGCGAGGGAAATTCATTCTCAAGACTGGTATTTTTCGCAAATACCCCTCAAGAACATGCTATATCTGTTTAATTACACCGAATGTTAACGTTCAAAAACGCATTGATGATCGTGACGTTACAAGCGTCCAGTCAGATAGAGTATTTTTTGGCAAATACCATGACAGAGAGGGTAAAAAAGGCATACCCTTTTTGCATTTAACCCGGCGGCGTTAAAAAATGAACGATATTCATTTGATAACAGTAAATTGGTGAAAAATACACTGGCTATCAACCAATCAAAACCCAGGATTCTTACATAAGGTGTAATTAAAATAGAAATACATCTACATAAGGATGTTCTCTCCTCTGTTTTAAAATAAAATGCTTTTTAAAAGACTGTGAAAAAGCAGAAAAAATTACAGGTCCGTGTCCTTGTTTTTGAGATATAATCAATTGAAAATTTGGCGGGAAATGATTATCTATTGTTTTTTCATACATTTAACATTGACACCTTTTTTCTTTAAAAAAACTGTAAAAAAATACAAGGATTTCAAAAGATTTTCAAAAATGGCTTTTTAAACTATACGTGATAAAAGTATGTAAAGAAAAGGGCTAGCAGGCAATTTGTTTGTTGGTACTACATGGATAAGACTAGAGGATTCCGAATATCCGACCAAGGGTAGCGAACATCCTTAATTATGTTTGGGTGCTTTTAAAAGTCTTGATTTCTTAATTACAACGACTAAAATGCATCACTATACCTGACTTTGTCCACTTGTGTTTTGACATGCTTGGAGCTGTAAACTAAATGCCAGATCAGTCCTCTAAAAGACCGGTGTCTCTGTTGTGCTACCTGTTAATAAAGAAAATATCAGACATCTAGGAGACATGTAGCTCTGCTGAGCTATCTGTTAATAAAGAAAATATGAGTCCTCTAAAAGACCTGCTTGTGTCTCTGTTGATCTATCTGTTAATAAAGACAACACCAGTCCTCAGAAATACGAGTGTCTCTACTTAGCTACCTGATAATTAAAAGCTATAATGAATGATCTGTGCTTTAAAATAACCTGTGTTTCTAGTATGATTCATGTTATTGAAGAGAATATAAGTTCTTAAAAAGACCCGCGTCTCCTCTATACTAGTACTTCATATTTATAAAAAGAATTTCAGTCTTCTAAAATACCTATGTCTCCGCTGTACGCCAATTTAACGTAGAGCATAGCAGCGCTCTGAAATACAAGTAAGTGTCTGTGCTAAGATATACCCGTTAATAAAAAGAAAATCAGTCATGAACAGACTTGTTTTAGTCGAAAAACATGAAAATATAGACGTTTGAAAAGAAGGCGATGTGGTATGATTGCCAATGCGATAACTATCCACTAGAGACCAAGGAGATGTGGTATGATTGTCAATGCGACAACTATCCACCAGAGACCAAGGAGATGTGGTATGATTGTCAATGCGACAACTATCCACTAGAGATCAAGGAGATGTGGTATGATTGCCAATGCGATAACTATCCACTAGAGACCAAGGAGATGTGGTATGATTGTCAATGCGACAACTATCCACTATAGACCAAGGAGATGTGGTATGATTGCCAATGCGACAACTATCCACTAGAGACCAAGGAGATGTGGTATGATTGCCAATGCGACAACTATCCACCAGAGACCAAGGAGATGTGGTATGATTGCCAATGCGACAACTATCCACCAGAGACCAAGGAGATGTGGTATGATTGTCAATGCGACAACTATCCACTAGAGACCAAGGAGATGTGGTATGATTGCCAATGCGACAACTATCCACTAGAGACCAAGGAGATGTGGTATGATTGCCAATGCGACAACTATCCACTAGAGACCAAGGAGATGTGGTATGATTGTCAATGCGACAACTATCCACTAGAGACCAAGGAGATGTGGTATGATTGTCAATGCGACAACTATCCACCAGAGACCAAGGAGATGTGGTATGATTGTCAATGCGACAACTATCCACCAGAGACCAAGGAGATGTGGTATGATTGTCAATGCGACAACTATCCACTAGAGACCAAGGAGATGTGGTATGATTGTCAATGCGACAACTATCCACTAGAGACCATGGAGATGTGTTATGATTGCCAATGCGACAACTATCCACTAGAGACCAAGGAGATGTGGTATGATTGCCAATGCGACAACTATCCACTAGAGACCAAGGAGATGTGGTATGATTGCCAATGCGACAACTATCCACCAGAGACCAAGGAGATGTGGTATGATTGTCAATGCGACAACTATCCACCAGAGACCAAGGAGATGTGGTATGATTGCCAATGCGACAACTATCCACCAGAGACCAAGGAGATGTGGTATGATTGTCTATGCGACAACTATCCACTAGAGACCAAGGAGATGTGGTATGATTGCCAATGCGACAACTATCCACTAGAGACCAAGGAGATGTGGTATGATTGCCAATGCGACAACTATCCACTAGAGACCAAGGAGATGTAGTATGATTGTCAATGCGACAACTATCCACTAGAGACCAAGGAGATGTGGTATGATTGTCAATGCGACAACTATCCACTAGAGACCAAGGAGATGTGGTATGATTGTCAATGCGACAACTATCCACCAGAGACCAAGGAGATGTGGTATGATTGTCAATGCGACAACTATCCACTAGAGACCAAGGAGATGTGGTATGATTGTCAATGCGACAACTATCCACTAGAGACCAAGGAGATGTGGTATGATTGTCAATGCGACAACTATCCACTAGAGATCAAGGAGATGTGGTATGATTGCCAATGCGACAACTATCCACTAGAGACCAAGGAGATGTGGTATGATTGTCAATGCGACAACTATCCACTAGAGATCAAGGAGATGTGGTATGATTGCCAATGCGATAACTATCCACTAGAGACCAAGGAGATGTGGTATGATTGTCAATGCGACAACTATCCACTAGAGATCAAATGACGTATATGCTACCAACTATTATGGTCACAATGTTTTATCTGTTAATATTCATTGAGAGTTTAGTTAGTTCTTAAACACTTAAAACCACGACTTCTTTAAATGTTCCTAACATTTTAAACCACGACGACTTAAAAAATCTAATTTTTTGCTTTGTGGTATGATTTTTTTTTGTTAGTTTAAACCGTAATTAATCTTGCCGTTTCCATCCTAGTATTCTCATGGCGATTCCGATCCTTTAGATGAACAATTGTATTTTAAATTTATGTTACCGAATCAAAAAGAAAATTACGTAACACAATTAAATGTTCTCAATTAAAGTAAAACCACCAACAACTTTCAAGAGTTCTTACACGTGAGTTTTTACACGTGAGTTCTTGCAGGTAAAATGCTTTGATTGATTGTTCCTTGTTTAACGTTCAGTGGCAAATATTTCATGCATGTACAGAACGAAAAATGTTTTGAAGATGGTGTTGCGTAAGTGAAGGAATTTCTAAAGAACAGTATACCAAGTTTAATAGTCATAAGACAGATGTACTAAAACATACGGCAGGAACAACATCTTTAAAACAAACGAAGCAGTAGAGAAAGTGGCTGATCAGTACAGGTATTATTGACAACATATGTCAGAACCTTTGGAATGCTGTCAAACGACATGCATTTTTGCTACACCAAATTATTCTTAGATCTTTAGATTCGCTCGCATGAAGTTTTATTGAATGATTTTTTTTTAAAACACAAAATTACAATACACCACCTCCCACCGAAAAAAAATCTTTACATTTGGGAAAAAAAGAACAGTTATTGTCAATTCTAAAAACTAAAGTTTAACTAATGCATTGCAAACTTATTTGTGAAAATTCAAATCTCTTATTATGTAACCTAATCGCTTCTTTCAGAAATGTATTAATAAAAGAAACAGATTTATTGATATCGCCTCGTTTTGTCTCCACACAATACCATGAGAAAATGATATATGTTCATGAGTCATTCGTGTTGTTCAGTCTTTAGTTTTCTATGTTCTGTTTTGTGTACTATTGTTTTTCTTTTCATCGTTTTTCGTTTTTTGCAATGGCATTGTAGGTTTGTTTTCGACTTTTTTAGTTTAAATATCCCTTTGATATCGTCATAGAGTCTCATAAGGAAAATAGATACTTAGTCTAGATCATTGATCAAAGGTTACGGCAATTGTTAATAGACAACGTACCATTACATAAATTTTGTAAGAAGCAAGGAACTCTGGGAATGCCTTGGACGATGTGAACATGTTTTTTTTTTTATTTCTGTTGCTCTTACTATCAGACAAGATTTATATTACGAGGAATAACGTTTTACAGAGCATCGACTCTTCGTTTCAATAGTTATGAAACGACGGGAGCAAATACTTTTGGTATTTACAAAAGAAAGAAATGTTGATGCATTTGTAATTTTGTCGTTTGATCGTGGTATAGCTTATGATTTTTCGTTTGATCGCTGAATAGGCTATGCCTAATTGAAAAAGCAAGGACAAAGAGGTTGTTTATTTCAAAAGTGCTGTTGTTAATCACAAAGAAATGACGTTGTCAGATGATCGGTTTTGTAATTAGTAATATCAGACAGTTTACTTAGGGTATTATTGAACATGTTATACAAATAAAAGAGAAAATTATAAGCATCTGTAAAAGCATCACTGTTTACGTGCAATCTTTGTTCTTATTCTCCAAGGAACAGGACTAATCAGAGGGAAAAAGTTTACATTCAGAATTGTGCGTCATCATTTCACATGAAAATAAACTTGATTTCGGCATCTTTAGAAGTATTTGGTAGCTAATGCAATTCTAGTCTTGAGTATTTCTAAAATTGCATTAGCTACCAAATACTTCTAAACATTCGTGACATACATAATACTGACGAGAAACTTGGATAAAATAATAAAAACATAGAATTTACACTTTGTGAAGAAGAAGGTGAATTTCCTAAAAATATTCATGCCTCCCTTTTCCCTATTGACAGCTTTCATTTTGCATAATAAATTGTAATTGTATTTACATAGAAGTGTTATTATCATTTAAATGTATCAGCAACAAGTTCAGATTTTGACAATTAAACCAGGAAAAAACAAGATAGTACAGGGATTCATAAATATTACCATATAAAAGCAGCGATAAGGTATCAATTTGATGACAGAAAAATAGACGCAATTCAGATTTCATTCCAAATTCATAACTATAAAATATCTTCTGAAAGTGTTACTGCATCTGGAAAATTTGAGATAATGACACTATTCCTATTATTTCAGAACTGAACAAAAGAAAAGATAAAACATTTATTTGTATCTTCTATGTGAATCAGATGTAGTCGTCTCATATCTGAGGGACTAACGCCTCTCAGATAGAAGCCTACATCTAATCTATACAATTATAAACGAGAAGACCTCATTTTGTGTGTCGCTTCTCTTCCTTCCCCAATAAATTAATCATCATGCCTCTGTGTCCTATAGTATATATATATGCATAGTCGCATTTGTCATCCATTCTTATGATTATTCAGTTTGGGTTATTTTGGGAGAAAACGAAGAAAAAGATGTCCGGATATTATTTCCGTCATCAGACCGATTTTTAAGTCATACCCAAGACTTCCGATTTTAAACTTTAAAAGAGGGGGTAAAGGGTTTTTTTTTCGTGCAAGAATTTTTTAATTGTTCGCTCATCGTGAAATGGCAATTTTATTTCGCGTTCTTTCGTGCAGATACCTCCCTTTACTCCCATCTTTAAACATAATTTTCATAATTACTCGGGGACAGTACAATTATTTTCGCGTTATTCTGCATGTATACTATGATTATAGTCCTATAATATATAGAGACTCTCTATATAATATAGCAGTGATCGCCGTGGATGGAATTGATAGTTAATAGCAAATACACTTTATTTATATTATATGTAGATCTATGTTCATAGTATACAGAAACGCGAAAATCATGCAATTTAACAGAGTGCAAAAAAATAACGGACTTTGGAAAAAAGGGAGGCTCAAAATAATTGTCCTGTCTCCAAGTGCCTATGACTCAGTTTGATACCTTTTCTGAATTTCTCCAGACATAAAATCTTTTACAAAAATTCACCCTATAACAGTTTACATACTTTCAACCAAGCTCTAAATACCCGCGATTTCGCGGGTGTGTTCTAGTACTTATTAAATCGAAGCATATATGTATAATCTTTTATGAGATAAATGTTAACTAATCACATGACAACTCACCTTAATTGCATGGTCATCAATAGCCTTGAACTTTTTGATATCCATAAAAATGTCATGTTTTTGCAACCTTGGTTTCCGTGGAGGTGGTGCCACCTTCTGGTCAGTAATAATATCCGCTAAGTCAAAATCCGTTGGTATCTTCATGATTCTGTTGTGTTTTTGTGTCGTTAAATAACTCCGTAGAAATTGCCACTCGTAAATCAAAACTATAGAAGGCTATCCGCTTCCATTATGTTCCATCAATATAACCCTGTAATGATACACCGATTTAATTTGCATATGTCATTATACAACAGTAAATAATGGGGATGAAATTCTGTTTTACAATGCTACAGTCTGTCTAAAATGAGCTTTAACTGAAATAAAGATAAGTACATAGCAAACCTTGTGAGAAGGTTCGTTACGTTTTTAAGGCGGGATACTGATACTCGCTTTCGATTACTCACCCAACGTAAACACTTATAAATATTTCCTATGCATTTCATTTTCAATCAAGAAGAATCAAAAGTTGTGAATGCGCTAGTTGTAATAAAACTTCATGTGAACCTGTTGTAACGAAACAATCATATCTGTTTTACGAGGGTGAATTCTGCACATCACAAGTTTGCTCAAAGTTTGCATGCCGGTAATCATGGGAATTCTAATCAATTGTCAACATTGTGTGTAAAAAAATAATTAACAGGGCTTAGATATGACAGAAAAATTAATTTGGATTTATCACAATAGCCAACGCAAACTATATAAAACTGATATTAAACAAGTTTTAGTTAATAACTTTTTTCCTATCATTTAATGTTATTAAATATATTTGCATTTTCGTCTGACATATAAAATAGAATTTTGTGTAAATAAAATTTCTGATTGTAATAGAGATTCGTGTCAAATATATCGACTATTGTATCTTTATGGGGTTCATGTCATTTAAAAGGACAAAGTCGCCATTTTTTTTTTTATTTCAAAATAGCATTATAAAATATGCAGTTCAGTGTACAGAAGAAAGAGAGTCATTCAGATTGAAACAATTGTGGTTGGAAGATTCTTTTTTTTTCGAACAATCTTCTGTAACGATGAACCCAAAACTTAAAAAAAAAAATAAACTAGCAACGAAAACAAAATGAATGGGATATTGCTTGACAAATATATTATTAATAAACATTTAACATTGCTGTTAATTATTTATCCTGAGTGTTTCGATTCCTGGAATACATGGTTAGATGAGACATATATAATATATATAAGGGATGTCAACTCGTTGAAGAATTACAAATAATATAAAAATCGAGTACTCGCTGGTTTTACCTAGCGATACCCGATAACTCGCTCAGATAATATCTACAAAAATAAATTATACACATTTTCTCTTGGTAGGTCGCTGTCTAGTGGACGTTATACTCTATAGCTACTTTATTATCTGGGACTAGGCCACAGTATAAGGAATTATATATCATAATTAATTGCTCATAAACTATATGTAATAATTGAATAATCAATAACCTTATCAATAATTTGATTAACACATATTGAATATAAATCATAACAAAGTCAAACCAGATCAAGCAACAGTAACATTTTAGATTGTTAAGAATATACATTTACAAAGGTGTGATGATTAGAAATCACTCAGTCTGATGCGATCTCAAGAAATTGAATTTGATGAAAAGAAGAAGACAGTGTTCAAACAGGAAACCGATTAGTCGAGTAGTATTTTGGTATTCGATACTCGGTTCTACCGAGCGATATTCGAGTACACGAGTACTCGTTGACATCCCTAATATATCATATATAAAGAAGTGAAAAAGTACAGGTTCCAGCCCCGGTCGGGGAGGAAGTAAAGAATCAAATCTACTCTAAAATTGTTAGGTTGATTTTCTTGGCACTTTATATAGAATCAAATCTACTCTAACATTGTTAGGTTGCAACCTAACAATGTTAGAGTAGATCTGATTCTTTACTTCCTCCCCGGCCGGGGCTGGAACCTGTACTTTTCACTTCATACTTCTACGACAACACCGCCTACCATTGCGCAGACGCCTTATCCCCTCCTCTAACTATAGCTGTCCCTGATAAAAATCAGCTTTCGTTTCGGGAGGTGTTACCTTCTCGTAGGAATTAAACAAGGACATCTAGACGCAATGCACAAAGTATTTTTAGGTGTACAGAACTAATTTCTTCGGTATAATTACAGGATGCTGTTCTATTTTTAGAAGCATACACTCACTGTAAATTTTTATATATATATACTCCTTTGAAAACAAACTTAATGCTTCTTAGTTATCAAAATAAGGAATACAATTTAATGTTTTTTCAAATCAACTCTTGTTCGTAAGAAGAATAAAGGATGTTTATAGTACAAACATCATGATTGCTCATCAGAAAAACAACGAATGGAACTTTATCGAGGATTGATTGTAAAACTTCCTGAATTGCACGGATCTGGGTGAGAAAATTGTTAGACCGTAATCAAAATATTCAAAAATGAAAATAATTTGTTATTCAATGATAAAGATGATATGAAATATTAATTTTTAAATAAAGCTCAATTATTTTATGATAAAGTGTTAAATTTTTTTTGACGCTAACTCTAATTCCATCAAAACTAGAAAACTAGAATTGAGAGACATGTAAATTTTGCAGGTTTATGCGTGTATGTAAGTTCGGGAATGAAATATACTAATCGATATAAGGTTAGTTATTTAATAGCAAGGTGTTCGAATGGTGAAGCCAGATTCATTAACTAAAATGAGATAAACAAAACAGTGAGCTTCCTACTGGCCCAAAACCCTGATTCCACAGGAGATGATACAACCTACAACTAGATCACATGCATTTGTCTTCTGGACAAATAGATTGGAGAAATAAGAGTACAAGCCGTTAATGTCTCATCTGCTTTAATGATCTCGATTGTTTTCTTTGTTGAAAGTCTTTTTGAGATCAAACTTATCAACATGTATCATGACCTAAACATTATCAATTAAACATATGAACCCTGCTAGACGTACAACTTAAAATCATTCCGTATGCCAAATACAGTGAACATTTGCTTATAGTATCTGAGACACGGGCCTAATCACAAAAAAATAACGTTTTTATCACTGACCCATGAATTGAGGTCAAGGTCAGACGAACCCTTTCTTACGAACATGTACACGTTACAATCATTACGTATACATAATACACTTGACCTATTGCTTAAAGTATCTGAAAAACAAACATAACATTGACTAATGAACCATTGAAATTATTTCGAATTCAGATGAACCATGCCTTCCGTACATGTACACTTTGAAATCTTTTCATACTCTAAATATACAGTTGACCTATTGCATCTAGTTTCTGACAAATGGACCTGTTCAAGAAAACTTAACGTTGACCAATGAACAAGGAAAATGAAAATCCTGCCATACGGACAATAGGAATAAGTAATAATCATTCCATACACCAAATATAGTTGACCTATTGTTTATAGTATCTGTGAGCTGGACATAACAACGACAACTCGCCGTAAAATGAGCTCCAGATACGTGGATTCCGGGTTGCAACGGAACTGTGGAACTATTAGCACAATTTTGATTAACCTGTTATCAAAGTGACCAAGTAAAATATCTAAAACTTAAAAAGGGAGTGTAAGTCAGTTTGCAAAGTATGTTTTGAAGACAAGTATATTGAAACTAAATTATTCTATTTTTAATCATTTCATTACGGATTCATCTACTATAAACTCTTACTGATTTATAAGGGTATTTAAAAAAAAACAATTTGTACCAGTTAAATTTCCGTTCCATTTCAAAGTAAATTCACGTACAATACAGTTAAATACATGTAAGTTTAAAATGTTCAGTACTGTATGCCAGTTTCGTACATATGACATGTATAGAAGCCAGAATGTAGCATTTCCCTGTGTATGTGAATAGTTAACAAACATTTGTTTTATGTGACTGATATGCCTATCTAACAAGCTGAAATGAACCGGAATATATGTTCATTTTGTAGTATAATTTTTGATAAGATAGATAACCGATTCGAATAATGTAACTTTCTAAATCTTAAAATTATCTATAATGTTGAAACGTAAATAATGATAATATAAATTCCACTCAAAACCATCTTAAAACAAATGTAGTAAGTGACTGAAACATACAATATAGGCGACATACATATGCATGTGATACAGTACAGTTGTCTGAATAGTTTGGTAGAGTTGTTACATGCGTTTCTGAAATATTTGATAGGAGAGAAAATACTACTTTGATGCTTACCTTTTTAAGAGAGAAAACATGTAAGCAAAACTTACACATGAATGATATACTGGTAAATTTCCAATGATTAAGAATGAAAACGTCACAAATCCACAATATTATTCGCAGCAACAAAGTTATCTAATACAGCGTAATGTTGTATACCATTCATAATTATGAATAATAACATATTTTTCATTTCATCTCTAAATTGTTTGTGTTTATCGCATTTAAGATGACTGAGCTAATAGCACCTTTGTATTTTCAGGGTAAACGGATTCTTCTATAGACCTATGCCTTTATGCTAGTCGTTTATTTCTTATTATTTCTTATTAGCGTAATTCGAACCATAGCTCAAATGAGAGAAACTTCATTTATCAATTAGTGTTTGATGAGGAGATGTCGAGTCAGTGAAGACTAGTAAATACAGGAATTGTTTGTACGTCATTACAGTAATTTTTGATGATATCTTATTCTTGAAAATTTTAGCATGAATATTGTTGAAGACAGAATGCTCCAACCATCCTAGCATGAATATCGATGAAGACAGAATGCTCCCACCACCCTAGCATGAATACCGTTGAAGACAGAATGCTCCCACCACACAAGCATGCATATCGTTGAAGACAGTATGTTCCCACCACCCTAGCTGTTTATATTGGTAAACTAGACTTGTTTGGGTGCTTTTATTGACCTTTTACCCCATAACATTTTACTGCACTAGATGCATTTCGACAATGATTGTCTCTTTTGTGTACTTGAGGCCAAACTAATAATACTTGAAACCCAAAATCTAACGCAAATGCTGAAGAGCTTATTGATCCAAAAAGAACATAAAGTATAGCCAAATTCGAACGACGAGGATTCAAAGCTTTGTATGAGAGGAATATATTCCTTAATTCATAATGTTTTTTTAAATTTATTACAGCAAATCAATCAAACAATATCAGTATTTTCATGCCAGCATACGGGATTACTAGAAATACTGGGCTGGTGATATCCTCAGGGACTAACA